GTTTCTTTAAATACTTCTTTCTCCCTTTCATGCGGAATAGTAAACTTCCTGGGTGTTGTAGTTTGACTCCGTTGCCGTTCTCGTCTTGAAACTATGGTGCAAAACGGAAGATGTTCCATCTTATAGCTTTAGAAAGGGTTGTTACGGAAACCTCGTGTATTAGCAGTTATGCTGTCAAACCGAACTTTGTTGCCATTTTGGTTTTCAGTTTTGTAACTTCTGCCACGTTTATCGGTAGACTTTCCTGTTAGCTAACCGCAGCAAAACGGGAACTTAAGTCACTAGTTGCTCTCCCTGTTTTGCTTCTCAGAGTTTAGTAGTATTTGGCTAGTAACCCTCAAGCTAGACAATCAGCGAGAGCGAAAAGCACTTTTCACCTATGTGGTGTGAACTTGTGTAGGATGATTTTCCTTTCAAAATCTTTAGGAATGAAAAGTACCTTGCTGCAGTGGCCGCTGGGAAGTGGGTTCTGCACAAGTCGTTCTTGGAAGCCAGTCGGGAAGCTGGCTTCTTTATTGAAGAGTCTCTCCACGAATGGGGACAGGAAATCCCTGGAGAACCTCACAATAAACTTGCTGCTGCTGCTCGACGGTGGAGAGTCAAACTTCGCCAGGAAAGAGCGGTAAGGCTACAGATAAAACGAGGAATTCAGGGGCGAAAAACGTCTCTCTTTATTTAATTACAGAGGGTAAATTTTGCAATCGTTATTATTTTATTTCTCACACGAAGCTTTTGAAATTGCTGATCCTTTCAGTTTGTGGAACGCGTGTCATATATGAACCTAGTTATGGCCAAGCTCAGCGTAGAGTTTCAAGGGCTCAGCATTCACCACAATGTTCTCCCTGTTCCCAGCAAACTCAGTGCTCAGTGTCCTGCACTTTCCTGCATTAAGTTTAAAGCTTACTATGGCTGCTTCCTCTGTCAATCTCCCAATCTTCTCACGCAAGTCATTAAACTTGGATGAAAGTAGTCCGATATCGTCCGCACATCGCATCGGACGACATCGTTTGAACTTTCAGCTTTTCAAAAATTCGCTGTAGCCATTATCAAACTTTTTCAATTGCTACATTTAGTTGAAGATAAACAGCATAGTCCTGAGAAGACCTTTTGTTCCTGGCCGTGACTGAGGTCTCCACAATCTGAGTAGATGTCAGTATTGAAGGTGACGTCTGTTCCTCTCATTTGTTAAAACGTTGGCCATTAGCATAGATAAAAGCCGGCCTCAGTCCCAAGAATGCTCACACTCAGACGATCACTCTCCACGATCAACTGATACTCCTCAGCTAAAAGCTTTTTATTGTATTTTGAAAATTTTACTCTAACTCTTAGGCCGCTGCCGAAGCTGGTAAAAGTCCATCGTCCTGCGGTGCATTCAATAGTTGGGTGGTTCTTCTGTGCGTGGACAAGTCACGGCAGCCAGGATTTAAACGTCTGTTAGAATCCGGAGGGGCTAAGGTCTCGGGATGCAGGCCACCGTTCAAGAATACTAGCGACTTCACGCACGCATTTGTAGGTAAGTACTGTGAACTGGCTGATTTTTCCTTTAGTTGCTCACGCAACTAAAAGAAAAATCGCTCAGATGAAGGGCTAACGCTCGAAACGTCAGCTTTAAATTTCTTGATGGTGGCCAATTTACGTTATCAACTCAGTTGATAATTCCAAATTACCATGTTCCGCTCTCCCACCGACGCAGCATCAAAGTTTCTTTAGAAACTTACCCACTTTATTCATTTGTGGGTTGAAAGGTCCGAGATCGACTCCCTATCGGGTCAGTGTACCTCTCGTTACACAACTGACAAACTGCCAAAAGGTGACACAATGATAAACTGGCATCCTGCCTCAAGGGAGTAGCAATACTTCTGGTCACAAACCGGGGTAAACTTTGGTTAGGTGGGCCCTCTGTCTCTCAAAATCACCTGGGAGTTTAAACGACCCACTTTTTAGGTCCCTCTATATGTGTGACATTACTTAAATGAGTCGATCAATTCGAAGCTTCAACATTCCCCCCTCCCCCGACAACCCCCCGGACATTTGACCTTCTGAAGATTGGTTTGTTCAAATGTCCGCCCCCGGAGCAAAAACTACGTTCGAATTCCCCAACCGACTTTTTTTTAAAAGGCAAAATCAGCGATCGTGAGTTTCTACACATTAATCAATCTTTAAAACCTAGACCTTGTAGACCTTTTCTTCTAAGCCATTTGCTAGCGAAAGTGAACTATTTATCTTAAACACCTCCATATTTCAAGAGAAAACACTTTTATTCCTCTGGAAAGACTTGACAATTCTGGTTAGTATTCCCCACCCACGCCAGGTACGGACGACGGTCAAATGCTCGTGAGTTGCCGTGGGGGGGAGAGAGGGGGGAAATTGAAACTTCGAATTGCTCGGCGCATGACGTGTTCCCAAGAAAGTTAAAAAAATTGTCGCCTGGCTTATCTATTGGATATTTTCTATTTTTATTTCATTTTAGACTTAGCTAAAACGAAAGTGGATTCTTCTGACCTGAACGCTCTTCAAAAGGATAATGTTTGGTGTTTGAAGCCAGATTACATCGCCGAGTATCTAATGCAGGATCCACCACCTCCCCCTCAGAAGTACTTACTCTCAGAACCAGTTATACCTGGTGAACAAGACAGATCGGTTCCTGGGCAGTCAAGAAAGAGAAAGGGGGATGATCTCACTGGAGGCGATAAAAGAGTTCGTGTTTAATTTTAAACGATGAGAGATTGTAAGGTGCTCGCTTGATCTTGTGTTAAAAGCATTAGTACTACGATGGCTTGGAGTATAAATCAGTAGAGAGTTCTCGCATCTCCAGAAAGAAGTCAAGACTCGTCCCGAAACAGACTTGCTAAATTTGGAAGAAGGGGACTTTCACCAACAGAATTTGTGAACCAAAAAGATTCTAACCCCTCAAACCCTAAGAGTGACTCTTTAAAGTAATAATGCTCTTCCATTCATTAAGATCTTGAGGATAAAGGAAATGATCGCCAACCTAAGAAACTTTGATTCAGTGTTAAACAAATTCTCTTTGTCAGTACCAAAGGAAATGTACACAGAAGAGTATGGAGAATATGGATACTGATGTTAGGGTGTAAAGGGTTCAAAGAGGGTCTATTTTAGCAGGTTTTCCAAAGATTGTGACCTGTGTCGTTAGCAGTTCTCTTTGCTGATGTATTTAACGATCGATTTTTTCCACGTTAAGTCCACTTGCTGAGGTAATTTTTCTCGGTCCAATGGTGTCATAGACATTTCAGAGTGTTCAGAACACGATGGGAATGTAGGCTCTGTTATCGGTTCTTTGCACAGCCTAATTCCCTCTCTTGCATCGTTACTACCCACGTGATTTGTAGGACGTGAAAATTGACTGATTCAAACTACTGGTGTCTTTTCGTTTTCTTTTTAAAGTAAGTGAGGTAAATATTTATGACTTGAGTTAGACTCCTGTGAAATAACCTCTAGAGAAGTCACCTTTTGGGAAGTCACTTCATCGCAATCCTTTGCCATTCTTACCGTCTGTGGTATTGTCAAACAATGCTAATCAAATTAATTGTAACTTAGAGCATCCCCTATCAGAAGATTTATTTACCTTGAAACGATTTACGTGCTGGCTCAAATTTAGGAAATGGAATGTGACTGGCTAACTGTCTAGAAGAATGTTGCGTTTGAGTTAGCATATGTTGATCTGGAGAAAGGCAACGACGTCCTTGAAAGGACAGCGCGAAGGATGTGTCGAGTGACATACCATTTTGAATTAAAGATATTACGCATTTTATTGAGTTTTAAATGTCAATAAAGTAAGTATTTGATTATTTTGAAAAAAACTTTGTCGTTAGTTTTTATTCTTAAATTCGCTTTGGAGTTTGGCCAGCGTTCCATAGCCCCTGACTTTCCAATTTGCGACACTCACCCAGATTGATAGTTGGCACTTGTGAAAATTTGGGGTGATTACGAAGCAACAAAGGTGTCTTTTTCCTGCCTATTCCTTGAATAAGAAGAAAGGAATAGACGCTGTGCAATAGGTGGTGGCTATTGACAACGCGCCTTCGCGTCTTATCTTTGGTTGTCACTGTTATTGCGTCGTTGAGCGACATCCGGAATACTACGGTAGAGGCAAGACTTGCCGATTCATTGTAATGTCTCTGGATAAATACAAATTCCACAGCAGAGCCATCTCTTGGTGTAAGGGAAATTTATTTTGGATACAAACGAAAGAAAATATTTATTACTTATCACTTGCTTTGTGTTGTATATAATTAGTGTAAAACAGTCTGACCCAACACTCCCCTGATTTTGTCCCACTCTCCATACCAGGCTCTTTCTGTCGTATGCAAGATGGCGACTGGCATGGCTGGTGTCCGTCGCTTGCCTCTTGTTGTTATTTTGGGTTCTACTGGGACAGGAAAATCCAAACTAGCCATCGAAATAGGTAAAAGACTTGGCGGAGAAATCATCAGCGCTGATTCTATGCAAGTTTACAAGGGTCTGGACATCATAACGAATAAGGTAACTGCGGAGGAACAGTCGCAGTGCCCTCACCACATGATCGATTTTGTGTCACCGCTGAAGGAATTCTCTGTGGTAGATTTCCGAAATATGGCTTTACCTTTGATCGAAGACATTAAAAGTAGGGGTAAAATTCCGATAGTTGTTGGTGGCACAAACTATTACATAGAATCCGTGTTGTGGGATATACTGATAGATGAAGATAGAAACGACAATTCCTCAAGCGGTGAAGAACTTGTTGAACCGGAGGGCCAGGGTCCTTCAAAGAAAATAAGAAAAAGAAAGCTTCTTGAAAGTACAGGCGTTTCGGGTTCTGCTACAAAATATAATGAAGCAGTAGTATCCCCAGGAGAGGCATCCAAAGGATCAAGGCGTTCCGAGGAAAGACCTGAACTTCAATTTTGTAATGATGCCGGAGTAAGAAGAGAAGATGAGCACAGTTGTAAGACAAGCCTTTATGATAAGCTTAGGGAGGTTGATCCGGCCATGGCAGACAGGATACACCCAAGTGATTCTCGGAAAGTTGCACGTAGTCTACAGATCTTTGAACAACATGGAAAACCACACAGCACAATCATACAAGAACAACAACAAAGACCTGGAGGCAATGCATATGGTGGACCTCAGAGATATAAGGATATCTGTGTGTTTTGGCTGCAATGCCAAAGAGACATCCTGAATGAGAGGTTAGATAAAAGAGTCAGTGAAATGCTGAATAGAGGCTTGATTAAAGAACTGTTGAATTTTCATAGAGAATATAATTATGTGTTAGCAGGAAAAAATTCTGAAGCCAAATACACTGAGGGTATATTTCAGTCCATTGGATTTAAGGAATTTCATAATTTTCTCATCAAACAGCAAGGCAAAGATTTTGATGAAAGCAATGCATCAGTCGAGGACAAATCACTTCTTAAAACAGGTCTTGAGAACATGAAGACAGTCACACGAAGATATGCCAAAAAGCAAATGATGTGGGTACGAAATCGCTTCTTGGGGAGACCAGTTAGTTCTGCACCTGATGTATATGGTCTAGATGCGACAAATCTTGCAGATTGGAACAATAGTGTCCTTCAAAATGCTCTAGAAATCCTAGATAGATTAATGAAAGATGAAAGACCAGTAATTGAACCACTCCCAAGGGTGATCATTCAAGAAGATCGACATGCAAGACATGTGTGTGAGATTTGTGAAAATCGTGTCATTTTGGGTGAAGAGAACTGGAAGAAACATTTGCAATCTAAATCACATAAATGGCATATGAAAAGGAAAGATAGGGAAAAACAGCTCAATGCTATCAAAGATCTATAATTAACTGAACAATGAATAAAAATTGAAAAACTATTTTTAAAATTGAGGACATAACATCCCTAAGTAATACAAAGCTTGTTAAATATCAGACAAGGGTGTTGATTAATTTGTTCTGAGCTGGGAATCATTTCTCTTACCCTTTTGTGCGATTGACAAACATGAAGGAAATCTGTCATTGAGGAAATCTGTCATCTTGGTCTGATAGAAAAATGATCCCCTATTCATTAGCCATTAAAAGAGAAGTCTGGCTGTATCACTGTGTAATTCCTCTTCCCTTTCTCAGAAATGGAGTAGGGATGTTTGTAACTAACTAGCAATTGCTCAACATAGACTGATGGATTTCAGTGCAAAATTCTTATTAACATTTAACATACATGTACAGCATGTGGTCAGCTGGGTTTTTTTGTTATTGACACAGGAACACAAGTTCACTGTACTTGCATGGTGGTATGCTGTTGTTTCACTTTTCTAGAACAATTTGGAAAGCATTAATGCTTGAGGTTATGGATGATTTTAATCTTTTAATCCTATAACTCCCAGAAGTGATCAGCATGTAACTTCTCCCTACAACATCCATACAATATTCAGCAAACAGGTGATAAGAAACCTTAAACTTATCAGGTAGCAGTTATCACCTTGATCAAGCACCAAATTCTGGTAACTAACTTACAAAGAAGTGTGTTGCAGCCAGAGGGGAGAATTAGAACAATACAATCTTGGGAGTTATAAGGTTAAAGGAACCCTTTCTAAGTTTTTGATTTACTGTACACTCAACAACTGGCATTGTGTTTTGGTTTATATTTTAACTTACCATTGAAAAGTTATGGGAATTATGGCATCTCTGACACAATATAGAAGCATAAAAAATTATTTCAAGAATAGTTCTGTTGTATTGTGGGAACATCGGACCTCAAATAATGCAAAAACTGCAAGAATTTGTGCACCCTCATTAGTTTTCTTCAGCAAAGGATTGCACACACATTCTGGAAATCTTGTCAAACAATTTTTTTCAAATTTCTATCCTTTGTCTAGATCATTTCCTGAAAAAGTACCAAAATTCCAGGTTCCATTGGCTACCGGTAGTTTCATTGTTTCCCTTACTTGAGCCTTCACTTGTTTTGGTCAGTGACCTTACAAAAGAAATACCGAAAAATTCAAAATGGCGGCAGCAGCCCGAGGGAAGTTTGTGTGGTTAGAAACGCTTCGTAGTGCAAGGAAAACTAGCCTTGTTCAAGATGGTAAGTCGCGAGTTTTACCCAGAGCTAAGCATTTTAATGAATTATTTGTTTTGGAAGACTGGTTCAAGGTTAAAAACAGACAACGAAGAAATTTCGGAACCAATCAGGTTCGACATACGTAAACAACCGTCTCTAAGGCACTTGTAATAGTCAAAGGTTCGATTATTTGCGAGAACTTGTGCTGTTTCGTGTCCTTGAAAATTATTTGTAAACTTCTTGAGATATGCACAGTATTTAAGTATTCAAACATTCCTTATTTTCGACAAAAGCTGAACTTCTTCCGTAAATAACAAATCATGAACATACGACTGACTGTCCAAATGTGTAGTCTAAGGGTTTTAGATAGGAATCAATTTTAAAAGGTTATATGGTTCAGTTGTAAATAATATACCCTTCAATGTTTGGACGTGACATTATTGCTGTAGGCCATGACAAGAGAGCTTGTTTTATGAATTAATCCCAAAGTTATTAATTGTCTACAGTATTCATTTTCATCTTTCTCTAGGTCGACAAAAAGTTCATTATACTTTTCCTGATGGAACAGAGATGGTAGAGGAATATGAGGTATCTTCTGGAGAACTCTTGGGTGAGTTCAGTTAAAAAACACAATCTTGATACCAAATTTACAAGACAGTAGTACTTCTTTGAGAACACTTTCACTAAATCAATGTTTCCAGAGAAATAAAGGATACTTGCTGAATTTTCTCAGTAAAGATTGACATTAACCCATTTTCTCCTAGTGAGGAAATGGAAAAAGAAATCTACACTTGGTAGAGAAGGGAAATGGGATTATGAGATAGGTGAAGACCTCAGGCCCGTCAATTTGGATATGGAAAATATCAGTGAAAGTAGAGGAAATGTAAGTATGGTGTCAGCCTCTAGGTATTAACAATTTTATTCACTGGTTCAATTCATTTACTGAAAACAGTTCTCACAAGCAGCAATCTGTTAACCCTTTCACTCCCAAGATCTAATTAGTAATTCTCTTTACTATCTGCCATATAATTCTTATGATGTTAGTTCAGAGAATTTGGTATTGGATCAACTAATGATCCCATGATTGATATTCTTCTCTATTCTCATCACCTGCCTGCTTGATATTGTATTGATATTGTAAGGAGAAATTCTGTCTTGGTCACTTGTGGAACTGAAAGGGTTAATAGTCCTTCATTTAAATGGACACATTTTAGGATAGGTAGACAATTTTTGTGGCTCCTGTGTTGTCTGTGTTGTCTGGTTGAACTGTTTGTGTCAAAAAACAAACAAACAAACAAACAAACAATTCAAGGATAAACCTGTTATTTGCTTTATTTTATTTCTCAAGCAGTACACTACTAACACTTTCTATTACTCAAAAAGTGTAACTGTTGTAGTCGGACTTGATTTCAAACAACCTTGATTTGTATTCCTTCTTGTTTAAATATGGTTATGTACCTGGAAAAGCATCAAGTTTTTAAAAAATAGTTTTAAAATTGTTTCTATCATTTTATTGGTGTATTAATAATAATTTTTTGAAGGAGTACAGCATGCTGTTTCATCAATTTTTTCTCCTTAGCCCATGTTTACAAGAAAAGACAATAGTAAAGCCTTTCAGTGGAGAATAAGAAATCTTCCGTATCCATTGGAAGTATACAGTGTGACAGTTGATGATGACAAACACTCCATGATAATAAGGACAAGCAACAAAAAGTATAGTTTGTACATGACATTTCAATTTTCATTTGTAACAGAAACACTCATCAACACAAGCTGAGCTTGCAAGCCAGGGCTTAGAAGGTTATGGAAACTGGGTTAAGCTTTGGCTGAATTAATTTTGGTGCTTAGGTTAGTTTTTTTACTTTTTCAGATACTATAAAAGGTTTCAAATTCCTGACATGGAGAGAGCAAAAGTGGACTTGGAACAGAGTGCAATATCTATAGCCCATGCCAATAACACACTCATAATCACAGTGAGTTGAACATTTCCTTTCATTGTTCAGTTCATCTTAAGTAAACCACAAATTTTTCAAAGTTTTAGCTCTTGTTGAGATGTTTTTGGGAAATAATGGTTATCAGTGACATGTTTTCAAGGTGATTCCTATCTTGAGGGGATGCCTATGGGACTCTCCTCACTGTTAACCCAGTACAGGGTGTCTGTGTCAGTCACCAGTAGAGAGTTTCTCACTAACAGTGGCCAACGTATTCTCTACAGAGGCCAATTTACATTATCAACTCAGTTGATAAAATTAAATTATCTTCTAATTCACTCAGCGACAGAGCACCACAGTTTTTTAACCCTTTAACTCCCATGAGTGACCAAGACAGAATTTCTCCTTACAATATCAATACAATATCAAGCAGACAAGTGATGAGAAAAAGAAAAGTATCAATAAGGGGATTACGAAAAATCAAGAAACTTCCCCCATTTCTGCCAAGTTAATGTTCTGTCAATGGCATACCAGTAGTTTTAGTTGAACCTCAAATTGAACAGAGTTGATAATAAGCAACCTAACTTATGTTGTCATTTCGAGAAACGCTTCATCTACGGAATAAACGTTTTGAAATAAGACAGTGAATCTGAAAGCCAAAATGTTATTGAGCCATCTCTGTAAAGCGGTTTGAATGCTTTATTAAAGAGTGTGATGTCTGTGGAATATGAACCTCAGTGTAATTTTTGTGTTCACAGTACAAAAAGCCCCCTTTGATTCTTGAACAAGAAAAGCTTATCCGACAGGAACTAGTCAAAATGAAATCAAGTCGCGACGGAGATGTGGAGTGCACACCAAGCTGACAAAAAGGTCCATATCTGGTTATTGTGTTGTAACTTGCTCTCTTCAATGTAAGAAGACGGCTAAAGAAGCAGCTGGGTGACATCATCAGAGTTGAATCAAGAGTTACAAAACAATGAATTGTGAAAGTTGATGTAAATTCTTTTAACATAATCTGCTCTGTTTGATAGTTAACCTGTAAAGTTGGCGAATGGAAATTTATTGCGTAACAAAAATTTGAGTGCCTGTTCTGCTTTAGACGGATGTCTTAAAGACCCTGCCTGGATTATAGTAGATTCAGAAATACCGTTTATTTACTGATTGTAAGGTTTAAGACTGTCCTGATGGCTTGACTGGATTGAATTGCGAAAGATTGCCCGTGCTTTTCTGGAGCTTTGATCAACTTTAAAGGACTTGGCTTTCCAGTAAATAGATAATTTGGTTAAATCAACTAATTTGATAAAGTAATTTGGCTACCGTCGATAAAGAGTTTTTAAAGCTGACGTTGCAAGCGTTAGCCCTTCATCAGGCTGAGATCCAGGGGCTAACGCTCGAAACGTCAGTCAGCTTCAGAAACTCTTTACGGTGGCCAATTTACATTATCAGCTCAGTTCATAAAACCAAATTATCTGGTTATACCCTCCCCCCTTACCACACTTTCTATAGAAACTTACCCCCCCCTTTCCTGTTACTGTTGCGCAATTAAGCAGTGACCTGCCGCAGAGATGTGTTGATTATAAAACATTAAAATGAAAGTGATAAGGTGCCTCATACTGATTGAACCAGTGTTACCCGCCTTTGAGACAATAGCAGTGAACTTTCTTTAGTGATATTTCCCATGGAATTTCTTTATTTACCCACGCTACTTGATTTTCAGTGTTTAACATCGGTTTAGCGGTGAGGAGTTGTACAATGATACCTGGTTCTGTTGTCCCTCGCCTCGGTTTCATGTAAAACGGCAAAAAATTTAAGAGTTAAGGATAAAAACTGGCAAATTTTAACCATCGGTCGTAAAGAGATTTAACCGTTACAATGTTGCCTATCTGATGTGTCATTTTGGAATTTTTCTCTTGTGGGCAATGCGAGAAACAGGAAACACTCTATATCCACCCAACAGCAGTTTGATCTGGAATAACCCTTGTTTTTTAGCTCTAATGGTTAAAGGGAGAGCGCAAATGTGTTTTCGAACAATGAAAATGAGTTTTATCGAGAGATTATACCAACCTAAATGTTAAAGTGATATATTGATCATTGTTCAAATCAAATCGTGGCCTAATGAATGGAAACATTACCAACAATTCGGTATCTTTATGCTTGCGTCTTACGGCTCTCTTCACATCACAGAACAGTATATCCATGTGAGAGCCGCAAAACTGCTCCAAAAATTAAATGTTAGACGTAAAAACTGACAAATTATAACAGTTTTAGTCGAAGAAAAAGTTTAACGTAAAATTTTTTCCTATCTACGTTTGAGTCATTTTGAAAATGTTAAAATCTTAGACTGTTATGTATCTTGTCTTGCAGCTAATGCGGGAAAACAGAAAATTACTCTATATTCACCTAACAGCACCTCAATCTGGAAAAACCCTGCCTGTTTCTTGACTCTAATGCAAAAAGCGAGCGCGTAGATGTGTTTTAGAAAACTGAAAATTAAACATTAACTTTTCAAAATGATTGTAATTAATTTTCAACATTTCTGTAAACCGTCACAGAAGGAAATTAACTGTTAGGCGTAAAATGGTCAGAATTTTAACCGTTGGCTGAAAAAGCCATCACCCCATTGAGACCCTTTAATGAAAATTCAAACAATGCCACTAATCCAAGTCATATTTCTCATGGGATTTTTCGAACTAAAAGACCGCATCCAAAACTGTCATCTGTGTATCAGTTTCAAACCGAGATCAACGGCGTTCCTTATCTTATTCCCACGACTGCTTGTACTAACAGCTGAATTTATTTAACGTTCAGTTATTAACTCCTGCTCCAACAGGTGTCGCATTATTCTTAAACAAAACCATTCAAAATTCTCATGATAAAATTTCTCAAGGACCTTACGATTTACTTAATCTCACGAATGGTGTCTCCCGCGTGTGTGGGTTGAATAGTTATGACAGAGTTGTAAGCGCCACTGTTTTAGTTTCATTGACTTTGAGGTTGATCGATGCAAATTTTCTTTATCTTGTTACTTATATTAATATGTTGAACTTAATTTTAGAGTCGATGATTATCTATTTCCATAATGGTTTAGACATAAAGGTTGGGACATTACCTCTATTTTTAGCAATATTAGCAATATCGGAAAATCGTCACCCACACTTAATCGATTCTACCCCTTTTCCCAAGTTTCCTTTGGTTATCGCAAGGACTTTCGTTACTTTAAAAACTGAAGGGAACAAAATTTAATTTACCTTAGCTTTTAGCAGCTGAGTTTATTGAACACACTGTTGGCTCTGTACCGGCAGGTAACGTATTTTATTAAAACAAACCCATAGCAATTCATTTTAATCAAACTCTTTTATCTTCTCAAGGGCCACCGAATAATTAATATCAACCTGTCTTCTCACGTACACATCATTCAAATATCTTTAGTTTAAAGGTCAAATGAAGTTGAGATAGAAGGTTAAACTTTCAGACCGTTAAAGAAAACGGAGTGACGCGTCGTTCTGGGAACTCTTTTCAAATTTACGGATGGAAATTATTTTCATCTCAAATCCCGAAACGCGTGCCGGAAATGCTCAGTTCGACTTACAATTATGTCAGCAAGTATTTTATAAAGTTTATCGGATTCGTCATTGGCGACGGCAGACGGGCGAAAGTGGATCAAATTTTCCTCAATTACAGTATAATCCTTAAATGAATGCTGTAGAAAAATTGCAAAAGAGAAACCCTGTGTGTCGCAATCTATGCAAATATTTTAATTAAAGTGTAAAGAAAGTTGAAATAAGAGGTCAAGAAGGTTAATGTTTGCCTTTTCCTTTTGCCGTAAACGCTACTCCTAAGCTCTTGAATTGAGAAAAGAACGCGACCGGCGCTTTAACTTTCGTTGTTAATATTAGTACAGTAAATTCGTTTTATATTTTCAGTGAAAAGGCAAATTTCTCTCGCAAGTTTAAACATAAATGATCGGATTCAGAGAGGTTTTTGAACCAAACTCTCATGGAGTTTGTAAACAGAATGAGAGAGATGGTATAAGTTTTGAGCTCGATAAAGAAATAGAGAAAGATGTTTTTCGTCTTGTCACGTGCGTGGGACAAATAGAAAATTCTGAGTCCCCATGAGGATCGAACTTCAGACCTTCGAATTCCGCGCTCCGATGCTTTACCACTGAGCCATGAAGACTCTACGGTGAGCGAAATTCGTTTGACACGCGTCCTGTATACTGCTAGGATCAGCAATGGTGATAGCGTCATGTCTGTAAATAGAATGAGAGAGATGGAGCTGTAAAGTCATGAGAAGAAAGGAAATTATCCGCACCAATTTGAGAAACTCCTGATTGTTAAACAAATTCTCCTAGTCATAAGCATGAGAAATGTAAAGGGAGCACTGTGAAGAATATGGATACCAATGCTAGGGTGTAAATTGTTTAGAGTCCCTTCACCTGTTGCCTTGATGATAATAAGTGAAGGAGTTATTTTTGCCGGCGGTCAAAATGTTTGATAGTCAATCAAATTTGCAAAAGGTTTCACAGATTTTTCAAACTAGAGAAGGTTTCAGAATTATCAATTTCAAGTTCAGAAATGGCTGACTGTGTTGAGTAAGAATTTGTCGATCTTAATCTTACAAAGAGCGACCATGCTGTTACCTCTGAATATGTAGAATCACTGCCATATAATTAATAACCTGTACTCAATAATTGGTGGTTTAATTTTGCTGGCAGCTCGATCGCATGTGTGTCGTTTGTGGTAACTTGGATTTTTTCAGTTTCATTTATGAAGACCAATTTATTTTCAGTTTGAGTCCTCTAAGAGGAAATGGCAAATGCGTAAAGCTGCAATTATCTCCTCTTCACAGGACAATTTTTGCTGACATAACAAGTTAAGTTTCCTTTGAAAACTGTACAGAACCTTACTACTATTTATAACCACGATGGCGAAACAATATTTGCAAAAAGGGCGTGGATATGCAAAATTCCTCGTTTTCTTTCCTGTACACTTGAATTTGCTGAGTTTGCACTTTGTTGATATTTTACTTGTATTTTCACGGATTCGTGTAAAATCATTATTTGTGACAAAATTTCCGTTGGCATTCGGGAAGGTTATCGAGAACTGTGGTTTGCAAATCATCGATCGTTGCACCATAAGCTAGCCGAGTGAAAACTCGCGTCAATGTTGCCACATCCATCTTGAAATATTTAGACATTACTATTTAAGCTCATCACTTGCAATCCAGGAATCTTTTATATCCTCGGAAACCTTGGTTATGTTTCAGACCGCATTCACCAAATTCCACCGGCTTTTTTCCAAACTCGGTATTGTTTTACGCTTTTTTTTTTGTTACTTTGGTTCAAATTTAATTTTTTAACATTGAAAATGCGAATTGAAATATCCTTTTTTTTTGGCTTACAATGCGACCTTGAGACTATACACGTCTTGGCGACAGGGGCGACAGAATACCGTCAATACGCAAGTTACATGACAGAGACCGCCAGAGGCAATGTTTATGAAATCAACATTTGATGATTTTTCAAGCGCTTCATTTTCTTTAGTTCGGTGACTGGAGGCCTTCTCACAAATTTTATATCCTTTACTTTTAGTTACATATCTATACAAATAAAGGTGATTTCTTTCACTGAGCAGAAAGCATACTAACCAAACACTAGCCAAATGTAATAACTTATGTTTGACACCATTAACATACACTAAATGATGAGTGAATAACGTGTAACAGGGGAAAGCAACCGGCTTTAATATACGTCTTCCCAATTAAGTTTATTCTCGGAATTCCAACTGCATTATAAAGTAGTATAAGCTTTTAATTAGTCGGAAACATTGCATCTGTACTTCGCCAGCTTAGCGCACCAATATTTGGTTTATTTCCAATCTTTGACGTTACTGAATTGTGCAGCAAACAAGTATAAATACCAACTGTATATTTTTGTTGAGTTGCCAAAACGAGATTAAAAATTGAAATTGCGAGTTTACCTTTCATGCTCATGATGTTTTTGTGCTGTATTTCCAATGTTCGTCAAGCCTTTCGAACTCAAGTTGCTTTATTAAAAGCAAATATCGATAACAAC